GGTTTGTGGCGACCCATACGTTACGGAGCGGTCCATAGGAGCGGAAGGCGTCCTCCAACTCCTGTCGGGTGCCGTTTGTGCCCAACTCTCCCACATAGACCTTGCAGTCGATCGGACACGACTCGCGTGGCGGTCCTCCACCTCCTCCTCCTCGCGATGACATCGATTGTGTGTGCGATCTATCACTTCAACTGATCCGATATGTGGTCTTCAACTGATCCGTCGCTCAAAACAGATGCCAAACAAAAGGCCAAACCTTTCACTAAATATTACTCACAAAACACAGACTTTTGCTTTACATACGACTGATATTCAATGTTGTGTTGAAATTCAGTGCCTTTCATAAGTGCATACAGTCTACACATTTTCCCCATATATTGTACGGCAATTGCAATCAATGCTTTCGTATATTCATATGAATAGAGAATGAAATCATTCATAAATAATGTAATACTTATTGAATTTGAATACTTTTGATGCAAAACTAAAGTTTTCAAAAGTTTTCCCCAAATTTTTAGCCACAATTGATTGAATCGAGAAATTTTCAAACCGAAAGTCATTACATAAAGACAAGCGATGGATATATTCTCACAGTATTTCGGATAATAAACCCGTATTTGAAGCCAAACTTAAGACATTTGCAGCCAATTCTTCTGCAGCACGGATTCATTTCCAATTCGGATCAGTTTCTTGTGTCCAGAATCGGTGCCATTAATACCGACGGTATATATCGTGAGGGGAATCAAGTGACCGATTATCACGGATTGTAAACTGTGGGCAAAACACTGGGGTTTGTATTGTCTTCGTGTGGTTACGATGTATGGCTCGCAAACATGAGTGGAAACAAGTACTCCACAAATCACACCACAATTGATGCGAGAGATCGCGATTTCTGGCGCTTCACTATCGATGAGATGAACCAAACAGACCTCCGAATGACTATTGATTATATCATTAACCGAACCAAAAGACCAGACATTGGTTTTGTCGGCTATTCTATGGGAACATCACTTATGTTTGCGTTGATGTCAACCCAATACAACCTCAAAGTGGATCCGTTCATAGCGTTAGCGCCGATTAAAAAACAAACATTTTTTATTTCTACCATAAAATAAACGCATATTTTTTGGTTAATTGATTCAAAACAACAAATATTATGGTCACAAAAGAATATAAGAAATCAAAGTTTAAATAAAGAGATAATCAAGAAGTGAAGTGACGACTCGTTGTGGAAGTACTACACGAAGAAGTGATGCACTCTTTGTTTCAATTGACGAATCGATAGGAAGAGAAAGAGAGAAATGTTTGATTAGAGGATGCGTTCGGTATTTGATATGAAGAGTGCTTTTAATGCGATGGTTATGTCGACCACAATCTAGAAGTGGAAGAATTGGTTTAACACTAATAATGACAACCATTTGAAAGGTGTGATCAGACATACCATTGCTTTGAACCCGACTTAGCAGGACTTGTGGTTGGAGTCGGTGTCCACACATTAGGCCCTCGTTTCCCATTCCACCAGCGGGTGAATCCACTGTTCACTTCTTCGGGAGTGTGAAGCGTGCAGTCCTCGAAGAATGCCCTGATCTCCATCTCTTGTCCCATCTGGTGGTCTACATCCACACCACGGCTACCGTAGTCTCTGTACTCGGTTTTGGTTAGCTGTTAAAAATGGACAACAATTTACACACAATTATCATCACTTGTATCAGTCATTCAACACTCAAAACACATTCAATCATAACTTTAATAATGGATATTATAATCAAAGTTATGGTCAAAACAACAGCCATAACAGCGGACCAAATGGTCACCAAAACAAGAGATTTAAAAGTAATGTGAATAACGATAACAACCATAAGAAGACATCACTAAACTGTGACACATGCTGTCGATGGTTCACATCCCAAGAACTTTATGATCAACACATCGCTGAACACATTATGGTTTGTATTATTGTTAAGAGTTGTTTAAATTAATACTAATTGTTTGGTTTAATTAAAGTGTGGTTTAGATGAGTGCACATTCAGAGCACATCCCAAAGTGATTGAATCGCATCAACGAATGCAACACTTCTGCTTCAAAGACAAGACATTAGTGAAGAGGTTTATGTCATACCTCGTGAGTAGATTCAAAGAATTCGTTGATTATCTTCTGTGACCTCTTGCGGTCTCTTTCGCCGGCGAGTCGAGCACTCGCGGCCTTCATGTCGTTTTTATCCAAATCGTAATACTTTGGATCAGATGCCATGGATTAGATTTAAGTGACTCTTGAAGACTTTCCACTCAATTGTTGAGTAAATAAACAGTAAAAATACTTTTGTAATAAGAGTTTCACTTTTTGTTTTAAATTTTACAGTTATGTCATTCATAAGTGTTGTCACACTTTACGCATAAATTATGTTTTTTAATTAAATACTTATTTAATTGTCGATTAATTAGCAAAAATACATTCATTGCAAAGCGTTTGCAAAATACAACCAAAAAATACAATTATATTTAATTTATACAAAAATCAATTGGAAATACAATTCGTTTTCATACAGAAAATGCTTGAAATTCTTGACTAAAAAAGATATTTGAATGAGAGATGAATCACTCTTTTTTGTATCGTTTATATGAAGTGATTATACGATATCTTCTAATGGACACCAAAAGCATCGCAAAGTTGACGGCATATATGGCTACACATACTATACACAAGTTCTTCAACACAAACGCCAAAATGTACGCCAAATATACGGAACCGATGTTCGAGAGGACGGCGTTAGCGATGTATAGTTTGGCCAGAAATACGTTATTATACGAGATGTTGGATATTATGATCTGAAAGAAGTAGAAAATGATACCAAACACTGGATTCGGCAAATTCAATGGCGGCGGCAATACTCCGAAACCAGTGCCATATCTAGTGGTCAATCATGGGATCAATTGGTTAGTGATTTGAGTCAATGGCTGGCATTGAAGGCATACTTCGAGAGGAATACTTTAGAACAACTGATGTATGAATTGATGTCACAAAAGGCGTCAAATTTGCCACTATTTTCGTGACGGACTTCAATGTATAGCGAATACAATGACAGCAATAGACCCGCGGATGAGATGAGCGACAGATATAACGTGTTTCGCGACAGACGAGAGATCAGCTCTTTTGTGGACACCATTCCTACCACTCATTGATAAACACATCACTCATTAGTGTCAACTCAAATGGGCTTTTGATTGTCACTCACCTGTTGTTCCCAATGGACTCCAGAAGACGTTG